AAAATAAAAGGGCATTTTAGTCTTTTTAGTTTTTCAACTCACCAAAACCACAAGCAGCTCAAAATGATCATCAATCCATAAAAAATAAGATTTAGACTAAAACCAAAAAAAAAAAAAAAAAAATACAAATTGAGGTTTGGACTAAAACCTCAAAAAAAAAATGTATACTACAAAGATTATTTTTGCAGTTTTATCCAAACACTATAACAATGACAAAACTGTAAAGTTCTGGAAAAAAAATGGTTTGCGCGTGCCTAGATTTTCGGAGTTACATTCGTGTCTAGACACAAGTTTTATGACTTTATTTACACAGCCCCTGCATACATGTAGCTGTTGGAGTAAAATCATACATTGAAACCTGTAAAACCACTGCACATCTATGTTTATAAACTACAAAGAGTTTGCTCCTTTCCTGTGTGAGACTCATTCCTACAACCACTTTATTTCCAAAATACTTATATTTGAGCATCGATATGTCATTCACATATATTCTGTTTTGGATACACTATATATCGTCTGGAAGCTCTCACGGAGGAGAACACAAATCGATTATTAATTAATTATATATCTAACCGGGGATGAGAATTTGGCTCAAAAACCCGAACCGAACCAAATTAGTCTCAAATAAGCAATTTGATTCGGGTATCTATATTATGTTTATTCGGTTCGGGCTAACCAAATAAAAGCTTATTCGGTTCTAAATACCCGACCCGAGTCGTCCCTTTTCTCTGATTGACAGAAATCAAAATCATGATTCACATTTCTGTCCTCTTCGTTCGTCACAAGAAAAGAAAAAAAACTACGCTCATCCTTGTCGTTTTAAAATCGATCAATCTTCTTAACTATTGTCAAACTCAAAATCACTTCTGTTGACCATTCCTCTTGTTTCAGACTTTCAAAAATCGATTCTACCTATTACCTATAAGGAGTCACTATCTTCTAGTTTGTCTAGTCATGGAAATTTTGGTTCCAACTCAAGTAAGCAATTAATTTCCATTATGTTAATCTACTATGTAAATGTTATGTTTTCAATATATTATTGTGTTATGTTAGTTTTTGAATGTTTTATGTTGATGTATAAAGGTACATTGTTATTCTATTATTTGGGTTATATAATTCTAATACGGTTTATTCGGGTTTTTTTATTATATTCGGTCTTTAATCATCTTGTACATATTATGCGGGTTATTCGAGTAATAACCTAACCAAACTGATTAATATCCGAACCGAACCGAACTCATATTGATTAATCGGTATGGTTTCGGTTCATGCAATTACCCTTATTTATTTTTTGGATTCTTCGAGTTTGAGTCAGGTCGGTCTGATTCCAACCCGATTAACATCATTATATCTAACATATACATATAATTAAATGTGTTCAATATCAGGAAAAACATAGTTTTTACTAAAATTTCCAATAGCAGCTACCAAATTAACGTTATTAGGCTCATCGTCGAATAAGATGAATCGTCTGCAATAGTTTCTATTACTATTTCTAGGATGTTTAAATTCATTTTCTATTACTACTTTTAGGATTTTTAATTTCATTTTGTTGAAGAATGTTATAATTGAATTGATTTGATGTTTGATGATATTATATATATGTAAAATTAAATTAAAAAAAAAAATTTATGCTCTTTGACCAAGAAATGCATTTTAGACGGGTTATACAACCCACCTGATTCTTCAATCATGGTACCAACGAAACTAACGGCAGAGTGGTCTGACCGACGGTCCGTCAGCCCAATTCTCCCAACCCTTTGCCATTCCGTGAACCCTTAAGAATGAAAGCTACAATACGAAACATGAGAGTGTTTTATAACTTCAAATAACAAAATGTAATACTTCAAAAGAGCACGTAGAATCAAATTACCTCTAAATAAACAAGATATAACTAGAGATTTTGGTACCAACATTTTGCTCATCATTAATTCGTTATGAAGAGTTTGTTATTATCTTGGTATGCCCATATTCAAACCAATCCCGAGCATTAATTGAAATTTTGAAATCCTCAAAACGGTCCAAATAGATCCAATCTGCGTCACAGAACTAGGCTTGGCCCGAAAAAGCCTAACCCAATGCAATTTTGTCATGGGTCTGATCTCTTTTCTAAACCTTTTTTTTTTATTTCTTTTTATAAAAATTATAAAAACTATAATTTATAATTTTCTGTTTGAATAAAAAATTAATTTTACCTTTTCATCGTTAAATACAGAAAAAAGGTTTACGAAATTAAATTTCTTCTAGAAGAATAGTTTCATAAAATGCCTTTTGGCACTCACTCTCTATCATGTTCACTATCACTGATAATAGATATACTAGGTATTATCCCCTAAATCTTACATTTTTCATATGATCTCCTCGTATAGATAAACTAAAAAATTGAACAGGGTTCTTTTTGTATTACTTTGCCCTCTTTTATATATATATATATATATATATATATATATATATATATATATATATATATATATATATATATATATATATATATATATATATATATTGATATTGCTAGTTTCCTACTTTCTAAATAGAATAGATTTTTGATTCAATTTAGAAATAATGAATTACCTCCTTGGTTGCAACCCCTGTTAAAAACTAAAAAAAGGCCTACGAACACGAACGGGAAGGATGAAAGCGAGTTGGTATGCTAATTCCTCATCCGCAAATCAGCCTTTCCCGTGGGTTATTTTCTCAACGAATAAGTAATTCTAGGAATGAAATCTTTAAAGAACAATATTCTTCGTGTAATATCGTAGTTATGTGGGGGATTATTGAAAATATAGGGATCATGACCATTTTGGACTTGAAAATGAAATATAGTTCCGACTCTAATTTGTAAATTGCTATTGGGGCCATTTATTATATACGATAGCTTTTGTTTTGAACAAGTGATTTAAATAGATGTGAGAAGGTTTTGGACTTGTACACATAGAAATACTATGGAAGTTTCATAAATAAGCGTTTTTTTTTTTTTTTTTGTTAATATCCCATTTGTTTTTGTAATGATTTACATGACAAATAGATAATAAAATAATAAAAACATTCATACATTGAGTTATGGGCATTTGGAACTTTTTATAAAGTTTTTTGTATATTTAAATAAATAAAAACAAATTTTCAAACAGTTGAAATTAGATAAAGCAATACCTAAAGTGATCACCACTAAAAAGTTGATTGTCAATTTCGATTGTATAATTAGAGAACCAAACAAGTCAATAAAAATGCCTACAAACAACTTACGAGTCATGGATCAACGATGGACTAGGTCTAAAATATCAACTACAAAGTTATTATGGGATCGAAGCCTATAACAAATACGTTGTTGGAAAACATAATTCCACTTGTTTTATTTTTGATATCTAACCCATTGATTACACCAAATTTATTTTATAGTTTATTGATTTTTCAATGACCCAAACGGCCGAAAATGGCCACCAAAAGTTTGTTTACATGATCTTGACCATAAAATATACATAATTTGATTATTTATCTTTTGGTATTCAATCTGTTTTACTAATGGATTTTTTCGATGAGTTCCAAAAACAATATGGTGTTTGTTTGTACTTGATGTAGTCAATTTTGAAATAGCAAAGTGGCTGTGATGGGCTCTTAATTGTGATGTGATGATGGTGTTATATATATATATATATATATATATATATATATATATATATATATATATATATATATATATATATATATATATATATATATATATATATATATATATATATATATATATATACCTAATAAAAGAGTAGCATATTTATCACGTGTCAATCAATTAGAGCTTCAAATTAATTATTTACCATTTGTCATTCTAAGGTTTTTCCTCATTAATTAAATCTCTATTCTAATTCTAATTCTAATAAAAGAATAATTTTAATCTCCTTTTGATATATCTCATCATATTAGACCTCCTAATTAATACATATATTTTTTTTGCCATGTGTCATCTTATTAAACCTATTAATTAATGCATGTCACTTGTCCATCTATTAATTATCTATTTCAAATTTTAAATTTTTTATTTTAATTACAATAAATTAATAACAATGGAATAAACATTAAAATAAAATTAATACAAATAATAAGGTGATATAATTCTACATATTTATTTAAATTAACGATTATAATTGGTTAATAATTTTGTGTTCTAACTATTAAAGTTTAATTAATTTTGTAGCCGTGGATTCACGGGTTATAAACTAGCGCGCGCACACACAAACACACACACACACACACACATATATATATATATATATATATATATATATATATATATAGAGAGAGAGAGAGAGAGAGAGAGAGAAAGAGAGAGAGGAATGATTTTTTGAAAACTTATAGTTTCATGAGATCTCGTAAATTAAAGGATGACCGTTAGATTAAAAAAATTTAATGACTTAGATTAAAAGTGGCATATTTATAATTATAACTTAATTTAATGGTAATTTAGGTTTTTCTCAATACATCTTATGGGTAAGTTTGGTATAAAAAAAATATTATTCCAAAATATTAATAAAATTCAAATTACCAATTTGTAGAAAATCCCCAAATTACTTTCTCTGTTTCTCTACCACTCTTTCTTCTCTAGCGTATGATCCTCAATTCTCTTATGTCTGTAATGATCGCCTCCCTCAACGACGAACAAATCCAATGTCCTTAATCTTCAGACCATCGATGTCGAATCCACCAACCAAGAGATTGACGCCTTCATCTGTAGATTGTTGAAGCCATGAAGTCGTTCGGTGGTGGATCGATGGAGTATTCATCGTCATGTCAGACAGAAAAACATCTTCATTGAAACTGAAGCCATGTCCAGAAGCTTCAATCTGCTATTAAACCCATTTTCTTACTGGAGCTCGCGCACGATAACCCATATCTCATCCTACAAAGGCACAATACCCTAAAGTCGCGCCTCCATCGATCGATCTGATGGCCAGAGCCGGAGACATATTTTGTTTCTCATGACGGCAACAACAAAAATTACGGCAATGGAGATATCGTCGATGGCGGAGGAAATAGGGCTATTTGGATTAAGGAAGAAGCTGAAGAAGGCAGAGGAAGAAGCGGTGGATATTATGAAAGAAGGAATTGAGTCAGCAGAGAAAGGAGTCGAAGCAGCAGAGAGACAGATCGAGGCGGTGAAGATGGAGATTGAGATGGAGGTCCGTTTCGGAGGTGGTTTGATGCAGGCGGGAGTGGTTGCCGGTGCGGAGGTTGTTGGGATCACTACGTCGGTGGTCAATGGAATATTAGGACGTGAAAGTTAATTTTGAAATTCCGATAGATTACTATCACATATTCACAGGTAATCATTAATCAAACTTTGATTTCTGATTGTTGTTTATTAATCAATTGTTTGAATTGCATTATATATTTGTTGATCGTGTTTGTTTCTTAAAGTAGTTTGGTGATGAATAGATGATCAAATCATCAACAAAATTTGTTTTCATTTTTCTTTTAAGGAATTTACGATTATGTAAAGTTTTCGATTTCTATATTCAATGGTTGATATAAACTTTTATTAATTCATAGTCCATTCTTCCTAGAATCACAGAGTTGGTATTATTATTTATAAGTTTGTATCTATATATTGGTTATGTTTTTGTAATGATCTCAAGATTTAATAATAATTGCTTAATAGATTGTATAATTCAAGTCTTTCTGATAAGTATCATATACAAACTCTTGAAAAATCACTGGAAGATACTTTTTGCAGGCAAAACAATAACGAAGTAACCAATGCATATGGGGGAAGATCCAACTGTAGATTCACGGATATCCAAAGTAAGTTCACCTAATTACAAAACTTTTGTCTTCTAAGAGAGATGGAGAACTCTTCAATTACTTGTTAGGTAGTATTCGACTATAATTGTGTAGTGATCACTTGTAAATCGCAAGTGAATCACATATAAATTACATATGATTCACATGTAGATCACAAGTTAATCACATAAAAATTACATGTAAATAACATGTGATTCACGTGTAATTCAAATATTATTCACTTGTGATTCACATGTAAATCACAAGTGAATCACATATGAATTACATGTGATTCACATGTAAATCACAAGTGAATCGCATATGAATTGCATGTGATTCACATGTAAATAACATGTAATCACAAGTGAATCACATATGAATTACATGTGATTCACATGTAAATAACATGTGATTCACATGTAAATAACATGTAATTCACATATGATTCACTTGTGATTCACATGTAAATCATAAGTGAATTACATATGAATTACATGTGATTCAAAAGTGAATCACATATGAATTATATGTGATTTACATGTAAATCACATATTAATCCATGTAATTTACATTTAAATCTCAAATGAATCACATATCAATTACATGTGATTCACATGTAGATCACAAGTGAACAATATATGAAATACATCCTATTCACATGTAAATCACATATGAATTACGTCTATATGCACACATGCATTTTGTGTGAGTGCTCTTAGTTAATTATTTTTTATAATTTTCTTGTGAATTTCACATTTGAATCTTAAAAGATAGAATCACATGTGAATATCACATGTGAATATCACATGTGAATTTTACATGATATAATAAAATATGAATCTTACATGATATATACATGTGTTTATTTGTGAGTGTTCCCGCATTAATCAATTTTTTTGTAATATTCTTGTAGATTTTGAAGAATTTGTGAAAAATACTGAAGAGTTGAAAAGTGATAAATTGAATAAAATATAGAAAGTTTGATCAGGAAGAAATGATAACACTGTGAATCATTGTAACATTTTGCATTTTTTATTTTTAATTTTGTATCGAATAAAATATTTATATTCTTATGTTTATAGATTGATTAATAAAAATAAGATTTTTAATGATTTACTGACGAATATTATATAGTATAAGAAATATGCATATATGCATTTAAAAAAATATGCATATATGCACCTAGAATATTGATTTTTTTTTTGTTAAAAAAATTAGAGGTTTTTTTTTAATATTCTATTGTTTTTTTAATTTACTTTTTAAAAAATACAAAAAAAATGCAGTATTTTCGAAAATAATTGGAGTTTTTTTTAAATAAAATGCAATTTTTTAAAAAATTGCAGTTTTTTTTTAATTCAATTTTTTTTGAAAAAAAAGTTTTTTTTTAATTGCAGTATATTTGAAAAAATTACAGTTTTTATTTTAATTTTTTTAAAATCATATTTTCTGAAAAAAAAAAATAATAAATCTGAAATTTGATTTATTATGTTAATTTTTAGAACTTTTTATTAATATTTCTAATAACAAAAAAATAAATATTAAATATAATCACTAAAATGACGATCATGCCATTAATGAATTAATTTTGATCTACCGCTCCATATTTAGTTTTTAGATTCTCGGAAAATAATGAATTCTCAACGGATCTCACTCCTAATATATATATATATATATATATATATATATATATATATATATATATATATATATATATATATATATATAAGAGAGAGAGAGAGAGAGAGAGAGAGAGAGAGAGAGAGAGATTCTTTTGAAAACCAAAAGATTTGTGAGAACTTACGAACTCATAATTAATTCATCATTTTCCAAATACCAAAACACCAACATTATCCAAATGGTGCTTCTAAATCATATCTAGGCTAAAAAAAAAAGATTTGACAAGTTTTTTTTTTGTATGACTAATGAGCACAATCAGTAGTTGTAAGGATTGTTGATGAGCATAATCAACAATCCATATGACTGTTGATGAGCACCATCAACAATCATATAGACTATTGATTGCTCATCAGCAATCCATATAGTTGCTGATTGTGTAAATATGCAGTCCATATGACTGCTGATTGTGCTCATTAGCAGTTCATATGACTGTTGATCGTGCATACATGCAAATTTCGAAAAGATTGGTGTTTTGGTGTTGAAAAATGATGAGTTGATTATGAGTTCACAAGTTCTCACAAATCTTTTGGTTCACATAATAACTCATCCCTATATATATATATATATATATATATATATATATATATATATATATATATATATAATATATATATATATGAAAACATGATTAAACAGAAAATCATAATAGAAGGTTGTATTTCCTTAATGCTCTAGATTCCCTAGCTATGATCGACTTCTGTAACTTTGAAGCTTCAAAATGGATACTTGGCCTTCAAAAATTGACAGTAGCTTCCAACCAAAGTTCTCATTTTGGAAGAGAATGACTTCTATTTATAGTTTCCAGAAAACCGATCACCACGACGTGGTAAGTCCACCACGACGTGCTCTTCGTGTTTATCACGTATTCAACAAGTTTTCTAGATCCATCGGGATAATCCAAAACTTCACGTCGTGGGTATGTCACCACGACGTGGTGAGTTTTTTTTTTCTTCATTTTTTTGTCTTGATCCAAATTCCTAGCTTCCAGCTTCCAACTTCCTTTTCACTTCAAGCTTGTCTTTTACCCTTACAACACAATATAAAACCGATTAAGTACCTTTTGTTCTATAAATAGCATAAAAGTAAGTAGAATACTTAAGATATGATGTAAAATTATATGTATAGATATGTACATATTAAAATACCCCACATTTATTTTTTGCTTGCCCCTAAGCAAATTGATTTTTATCTTACCAATATTGCATAAAACAATTCATTTCAGACCTAGCCATTATCCCAAGACCGTAATGCATGTATTTTTGTCTGTGGTTCCTAAAAACTTCACATTCTTAAATACTCACAATCCTTATGAACCTTCAGTCTTTAGCTTATACGAAATTCATTTTTACAATCCTCCGAATCCAAACCCATAAATATTTCTTAACTTCAAGGTATTTTTGGTTAAACTACCATTCATACATAAATTCTAGAAAGAATTACAACTTTGATACTATAATGGACCTCTTTGGAATTCATCTCTTCCTTGATATTTGCTTGATATTTGCCTTTCAATTTCTTTGAATTTACCATTTTCTTGTTTGCTTTTTGGTATCTTCAACTTTTTGGATTTCTTCAGAATTTTGATTTTTTGATTTCATACTTTGACGGCTCCAAAATTCTTTCAACTTTTTGGTAATTTCTCTCTTTTTTTATATACCTCACTTTTTTCACGCAAGTCCTACATGCTTAAGTAATGAGCTTAACTTCAATATTTATTAGTAAGAGGCATTAGTCTAAGTGAAATGACTACATAAACTCTCATGGATGGATTTCAGGTACACACTGCAAAACTTATTACATCATATAAACTACCATATTATCTTTCATATCTCATGGTTTTTCATTAATAATGGGAAGCCACAAATACACTATAACATATGTTGGCTCGGGTAAACATTTGGGCTCTTAAAGGATCATCCGACACAATACTAGCAAAAAATTTAATTAGCTAGAGTTTCCTAAATTAAACTATTATTTCAAGTTTATATGAATGCATATTTGTAAAACTAGCAATGCAAATCTTGAAAAATCAAATGCTTTTTCCTAATGAAATAAACCCCCAACCCCACACTTATTTGATGCAATGCCCTCATTACATGCTATGCAAGACATAAAAGTAAAAAGGGAGAATATGAACAGACTTCCCTGGGATAGAAGTTTCAATGTGAATCGTGTTGCTTGTGTGTAGGATCGCTCGCTCATAAGTGTGAAAAATGAAGTGGTTGACCATTATGGAACTTGACTTAACACTTGGGCATTTATACTTCATAATGTATAGGAAAAAGACGTAAAAATCGGATTCGAGAAACCACCACCTCATGGTAGTAGGGACCATGTCATGTTAAGAGGTGGCAAAAAAATGTTTTCTGTAAGCAACACCACGTCGTGGTAAGGATTACCACATCGTGGTGGGAGTAAAAATGCAAATATTAGTGCATTCTTCAGCAAATTTCTTCAACAATTTGGTCAACAATAAATATGTGCACTTCTGGAAACATGACTCAACACTTGGTTAATCAAAATAATGCTTGAAATGCTCAAGTCTCGCCCCTCTCGCCGCTTTTCTAACATTTATCCTAAACTCATCAAATTCTCACAAAAAAATGCTTCTCTCTCAAACTCAAACTTTCAGGAAATCTAGAGACAAGAAACATGATAAAAACAAGGAAACAAATAAAATAAAATGTAACATCCCGAGATTTTCACAGGTATTTCTGAATCCTCCCTTTTGTCACTTGTAGTCCTTGAGGTTGGAAGTGTAGAGCCAAGATAAGTCTAAGGTCCAAGGTTGCAACCTTGGACCAGGAAGGAGTATGCTGAGCGTACATAAGAGTATGCTAAGCGTATTAAGGTGCACTTTAGTATGCAGGGCGTACACTTGTGTACGCTGGGCGTACTTACGTCAGAAGGAAAACCCTAATATCTAGGGTTGGGGGCTATATAAACATCCTTATGGCTCATTTTCTCTCATCATTCCCAATTTCCATATTCCAGAAATGTCCTAAACCCTAGTTTTATGTGTGAGTGTGAGTTGGTGTGTCTTTTGAGCTCTTGAAGGTGAATTCATTACATCAAATAGTTAGAGAAGGAACAAGCTTGTAGATTTGAAGTTTCCTTGTGCTATAGGAGCTCCAGAAGGTAAAAAGCTTCAAACTTTATGCTTATATGAAATAGATCTTGCTATACTAGCTTTATGGAACCAATTCTTGTCCCAAAAGTCCCAAGTTGGTGCATAATGTGATTTGGACGAAATAAATTGTCCTTCTAGACTCTTGAAGAGGTTTTGAGTGGTAAAAATGAGGTCCCAATGGCTTAAGATGTCCCATGCACGGAGTATGAAGGTCTTAATGGATTAAGACCAGCTATTAAGAGCTTTATGGACGTCCAAAGTGTTAAAGTTCATGAATTTATGAGTCCTAGGCAGATTTGGTCACTAGATCTGAAGTTTAGGCTTAAGTGCTTAAGCCATCAAGCAATTATTAGGGTTTAAGCAAAACCCCGCGTAAATCCAGTACGCCCAGCGTACTAAGTCAACCACCTTGATAGTGGTCAACATCAGGAAGAGTACACAATGTACCAGAGTACACCCCACGTATATCCTTTGTTGGGCTTTTGTCAAAATGGGCTTCGGGATTGGGCCATCTTTAGACTAGTTGGACTTGGGCCTTGATGGGTTTTCTGAATAAGGGTGTTATAGGCCAGTTTTGAATATGGATCTTAGAATAAGGCCCAAATAGGGAGTTGGGCCCAATGGGGTAAATTGGGCCAATAATGGGCCTTGCTTGTGGACTTTCAAGATAATGGTTTTGGCATTGGGCCTTGGCCCAATAAAGAGAAAGGACATGATGGATTGTATGGATGCTTAGTCAAGACTGATATCTCGTGTATTGACTTGATGTTTATTATGTGATAGTTTGGGATTCCCGGTGAGACAGCGATCAGAGGTTTTCAGTACTTTCAGCACTACTTGCGAGGTGAGTTATCCTCACTACATCAACAGGGTATAAGGCACCAATATCGACCCTTATCGGATTTGGATGCAGGTTTATTTCATGATATGCTTATTGATTTACATCTCAGTAGTTAGGATGGTGATATGCTATGTTAGTGACCGGTTAGGTCTATATCTTGGTAATAGGATGTTACTGTGATTAGTGATCGGTTAGATCAATTTGACAATTATATATGCTCCCGATGATATGTATGATATGTATGTGCACATGTTTGTTGATTGGGGGTTGGGTTGAGGCGGTCCTGGTTTGTGTTGAAGGCCAACATACCCAAGGCGGTCCGGATAAACTGAAGGTCCTGCAAAGGGGTTCAGTTAGGCCGAAGGCCCAACGAGCGGTCCTGATATGTTATAGACCCTGCGAGGCGGTCCACACGTGCCAAAGGCTCGGAGAGCGGTCCAAATAGGTTGAAGGCCTGCGAGGCGATCCAATCAGGCTGAAGGCTCATATGCATATTGTTTGCTTATATGTTATATGGTATGGTTATATATGTATAGCGTTGGTATTTTGGGGGTAACTCACTAAGCCTTCGAGCTTACATTTATCGATTATTGTTTCAGGTACTTCGGATGATCGCGCGAAGGCGAAGGCATGATCGTACACTTCCTCGATTTTATGTTTATAATTTTTGGCAACTCTGATAGGATACTATTTTGAAAAAAAAATTGTAATAACTTAATAATTTTTAAATGTTTTAAAAAGTTCAAAATTGCGATGATTTTTATGGATGTTACATAAAAAACATCCAAATCCCAAGTTACCAATATTCAAGCAAATAAACCAAAATAAACATAAATTGTCTTTAATCCACTTCAATCAAAAAGGATAAATCACTCCTCCACATTATGTCCTCCACTTCCACTACTGCTAGCACCACCTTGTTGCTCCGCCCATAGCTCGTCCCATGAAAGGATATAAGGATATGAACCGGAAATTCACTGGGACGTTGCAAGCTCATGTCTTGCATCAAGATATATAAGTGTAAGTCGATGTAATTGACACCCCCGCCCAAATTATCGTGATACCTCCGAAGAGCAACGTTGTATAGATTCATTGGAAGCTCATCTTCAGTTGGAATCACGGGTGGCTCATCATCATCTGCATCACAAGTTTGTTGCTTCACCCACCTCCCGGGTTGGTTTCTTGGGTAATCATTGGTAATGGAATAATTACCAAACCCATTGTCCATGACAATATTAGCATGCTTTGATAGGAGTGGAGAAAAATATTGGCCAAGCTCTATTGTCAACATCGCAACTTCACGTCTTTGGAGGATCCCAAATGATCGTGCCAACCGGGTAATTAACATTCCACCATAAAGAGGAGACCCACGACGACCATTTCATGCCCGAACCGCCAAAAATTCAGCCACAAGATACAAAATGTCAATAAGTACATCAGGAGTGAGGAGGCTTCATAAAAAGAAAATGTCCAACCCCAAGACCTTGTCCCCCTCCTGTATTTGGTTGATAGCGTTGGTGATCAAACGGTGAAGAAGACGATGTATAGGAGACCGAATTTCACTTTCTTGCACGATCTAGTATTGGTATACCTCATTCACTATATTCGGCCACTATTGGTTGTCCTTGAACCCCTCAGTTAACTGGACACAACGAGCAATGAAATCAACATAAGATTCGGTATGCGCTTCAGACAGAAGATAAATCTCCATCCGCCTTACAAAATCAGCCAGGCTAAGTTTTCGCCTTTCACCCCCCCCCCCCCCCCCCCAAAAAAAATGTGATGCTCTTTGGCTCATGAATACTATTTTTCTTCAGAAGGTAACTGTTGCCAAAATCTCCACAACAATCTCCTTGTATATCGGCTCCTAAATATGAAATAGTCTCTTCCAAGCCATGCATATAAACCGCCCTTGGATGCCATCAAAAGATTGTACTAGAAATGGTTCAATGGGCTCCATGTCTAAAACAATGAAATATGCAGGAAAAACAAACTTGTCAACTTTAACTAATAGATTTTCACAAATCCCTCTTGGAAAGGTCATCCTTTTGTTTGCTAAGTGGATGACCATGTAGACCGGTCTTGATTACGGGAGATAAAGTTTCTTGAAGAATGAATAAAGCATCAAATTAACATATGCTTCCGAGTCGGTTAGAGCGTGGCTAGTAGCTAGATTTATGAATTGGAAAGGTAGTGCTAAGATTCTCGGATCACCTATATTCTTTGGTAGCATATTCAACATTGTAGTCGATCATGTTTCATTTAGTACCACCTTCGATATTCCCTCCATCTTCTTTCGATTTGATAGGAGATCTTTTAGAAACTTTGCATACTTTGGCATTTGAGTCAGGGATTAAAGGAACGAAATATTGATTTCAAGGGACTTGATGTGATCTAAGAACTTCTGGTAGTATTCAACATTATTCTCTTGTCTTGCTCTACTAGGAAAGGGCAACGGTGGGCGGTATGGTTGAATGAGATCAACACTTTTCTTGTCGGGTACCTGTCACGTCGTGGTGTTAGTACCACGTCATGGAAACTATTCAAAATTCTTTTGTTGACTTGCTTCTCGAGCTTCCTGCTCATCATCTGGGTTATTTCTATTAATGGAATTTTCCCACTTCTAGTTGTAATGGCTTGGATGTGAGCTCCTTTCGAGTTTTGTTCGGTGTTTCCTGGAAGTATACCCGATAATCTTTCATTGAATTGCTTGGATAATTGCCCAATTTGTTGCTCAATATTCTTTATTGCAACTTTTTGATTTCTAAATTCTGCTTTAGCGTCTTCGTGTTTCTTTTTCGATACGGCAGCAAAACAAGCAAGCATTGTCTCGAAATCGGGTTTTTTTTCAATAGTTGGTTCCTCTTTTTGGTACAGGCCTCATCCTTTTTGCTCATACTTATCTTCTTTGGCTTTATTGTACTCATCATAAGGTAACCACTTTTTCTTGGGCTTTCTCCAGTCTCATCATAACGATCACCGCTCGAGTGGCAAGCTTGAACATTTCGGTTTCCATTCTCATCAAGATCGCATTCTCTAGTTAAATGCGGTCCGTTATAGTTTTACACCCCACTCGTATAACATGGATTGTTTGATCCATTTTATTCATCCTACTATCCATGTAATGCAACATTACTAAGACTACCGACATGTCCTTCTATAACCCCCGTAGATTCGGGCTAGTCAATTTAGAGATAATAGGGGTCGAAAAAAACTTTTCAACAAAAAACTATTTAGAATAAATAATCTTAACCAATTTGTAGGATCTGTCTCAAGGGTTCAGTACATATAAAGAACGCTGAAATCCGAGTTATAACGAATAAGTTATGGTCCGTCGAAGTTTTACGGCAAAACTGGCACGGCACCGGGAGACGTAAATAGTGAATTTTTGATAAAGGAATTTTTAGCCCTAGTGATATAAACAAAATTTGTAGTATACGTTAAACCGAGAACATACAAAAAAAAGAAAGCCCAAATCTGACATCGTATGAGGAAGTTATGAATTTTCTAAGATTTGACATGATAGTGCACGGCCCGAAACTCGAATTTTAGTTCGAGCGGTTTTTGGACTATGCAACCTAAATAAGAGTTGAATATCTCATTAATAGGAACTCAACGATAAAAAAGACAGACTAAAACGGAGTTCGTATGTAGAAGCTATCAATTTTACGCGGGCATTTAGCAGTATATAATCTTCTCCTACTGTTAAATTTAATATCGGTCGAGAATTAGCTGACGGAGTCTAAATGAAAGTTGTAGATCTTGTTTTTCCTACACGTGGATATAAAGAACTTCGAAAACGGAGCTCGTATGCGAAAGTTACGGGGTTTAGAAGTCGGCAAGGTGCTGATGCAAAAGGGGTAACGTGGTACAATGTAGGTCACACACGTTTTGCCACCAGAAAGCTGACAAGTGGAACTAAATCGGTGAGTCAGTGACCTAACTTGGCGAGTCCATCAGGATTTAACCCTATAAATAGAAGTGTCGGGTCATGTCATTTCCTCACACCTTCAAACCCTTCTTTCTCTCTCTGGAACCTCTCTCTCTCTCTCTCTCTCTCTCTCTCTCTCTCTCTCTCTAAGCCTCCTTGCCCCCCCCCCCCAAAAGCCTAGGTTAACTCCCTAGCATGAGGCGGAAGCCCCGGAGCGCCTGACAGCTCCGAAAAGAAGAGCCCTTGGCTCAGAAACTCTGCTCCGATAGAGCCCGGTTTTTGAGAAAACCCACTGTAAGTGAGCTATGTCTACCCTATCTTTAGTATAGCTTATGTTTCAATATAGTAATGTTATTAGGACCTTATAAGGAGTATTTGGGCTATTATTATGGGTTATATAAGTATTGTTTAATGCTTATATAATAGTAATAATATCTAGACTATCAATTAGTCTCATCATATGTTAGACTAAACTCTAGTGGTTATGATACTAGGTTTCATCAAGGGATAATTGTTTCAAGAGTTACGAAGTGCTGTCCGAGTATCGACTCACCACCTTACCGGGTGAGTGCATAGTTACTTTCATCTTACACATAAATATGAAGTATTTTATATAAATTACGTGCTATGTGTGCATACTATTTGAATACTTGTTGTCTATGCTGGATGAATGACTTTATACATGCTTCAAATGAATTAAATTGTATATGTATTTTATATCTACAAATATGTTGGGTATGACATGGGTAGATGAATAATGAGAGATAAAAAAAATGATGTGAGTAAACATTGGCAGCTATAGACTTAGTGCCTAATAAATAACATCGACATCTATGGACTTAGTGCCTATTGGACAAACACTTGTAGCTATGGACTCAGTACCTATTATGTAAACACGGGTGGCTATGGACTTAGTACCTGTTAGGTGTTGGTAGTTATGGACTTAGTACTTGGTAGCTATGGACTTAGTGCCTATTAAATAAACATTGGTAGTTATGGACTTAGTACCTACACTGGTAGCTATGGATTTAGTACCTAATGAATGAACTTTAGCAGCTATGGATTTAGTGCATTGGTAGCTATGGAATTAGTGCATGTCTTATAAACCCTGGAAGCAAGGGACTTGTTAATGAACGAATGCAGGATAGATGACTCTTAGGGTAGACCCTTAAGAGTAAGGAAGATAATTAGGATAGGTAATTGGGATGATTGTTTGATGTTTAAACATAATACTTATATTATTGTTGGTTGAAAACCCTATGTACTCACCAGGTTTCCCAACCTAACTCACTCAATTTATTTATATCACAGGTGTTGCATGAAGTCACATTACACTAGGAGATTAAGGAGATCAAATCACTAGATAATAAATGTAAGTTCTGTTTATTCTTATGTTTCCGTATTGACGATGACATCCCAAATGCTTTAAAATGAATAAAAAATATTTTTCTTCGGAAATGCCTTGATAACGTATTTATCATGTTTTATTGGGAACAAATTTCGCAGCATTTTTATTAAAAGAGGTACTCTGACTTTTATAAAGCATAAACAAAATCGGTCTTTTCTGGCCGTGAAAATGGGGATGTCACAGTTGGCATCAGAGCATTAGTTTAAGCGAACTAGAAATAATGATTTATTTCTAGACTTAAACTTAGAATGCTAAGTGATGATTGTGAGGAGTGTGTCCAATATATTTTAGGTAGTACACCTGAATAGACACAAGCACTAGCTTAATTAGGAAAGATGCCTAAAATGCTTTTATGTGCTAAATGATTTGTGATGCTTTATGTTATTGTTTGATCGGATCTATGGTCTATTGCCGACCGGATCTGGAAATTTTATGTGTTCAGATTTCTAAACGTTTAATTACGGTGTTAGAACTGACATGTAACTTTTCGGAGTAATACGGAGGAATACGTGTCTAAATCTGTAACGCCCCGATTTTCAGGCATTGTCTAAATATGAGTTATTAGGTTAACCCCTACTCGATGAGTCGGTTGATCTACTCATCGAGTAGCAGTGGGAAGGATCGCGGGTTAAGTGACCTACTTGACGAGTCCATATTGGGACTCGGCGAGTAGGAGCTGGCAGCTGAAACCCTAAATCCCGGGGTTGTGTACCTTATTTAAGGGAACACAAACCTCATTTAGCCTCTTTGAAGTGTCTTATCAAACCCTAATACGTGTGTGTGTGTGCATTGTGTGTTTGAAGCCTTGAAATGGGATTTTGGTGAAAATAGCTTGGGAAGCAAGTGGTTTGAAGCAAGAAGCTTGGGGGAAATCCGGATCTACTCCATTTGTCATCTCTAGGGAAGGTATCAAGTTGTTATCCTCCTTCTATTTCGTTCTAGACCTCCTTGGTTATAGATTAGGGTTCTTGGTTGGGTTATAAAGTCATTTTCGAGAGTACAAGCCAAG